GTCTGCCCCAAGCGGCATTGCCAAACTGCCCAATTTTTCCCTGATCTCACTCACTGTCGCAAAGCGGCCACCATTATCGCCTAGCAACATGGGAAAGTCATAGCCAAGGCTGCAGGCCAGTGACCTTCTTGACCAAACCGTAATCGACGTAAACACAACTGTAATCGTAGTAGTCCGGCCGACTTTCAGCTGTTTCACGGGCCACGCCCATGCCAGGCACAGCCACCTGTGCAGTGCCGGCCCTTAATAAGCATGGGGGCGCGCAGCGCCCCAATCGCGCAGTCCTGAGGGTTGGGCCGCGCTCCGCCTACTGGCATGCGCAGTTGCCGGCAGGAAAATCGAGGGAAAACAACGAGAGAAAAAAACGACCGTTTGTTTGTTTATGTAATCCGAATGTGGACGAGTTGGGGTTCGTTGAACCATCGCCAATCGAAATGCCAAAAATAAAACGCGGCCCCAAACGCGCAACTTTCCAAAATTGAAATCGAGGCTTAATTTATGCCGATCGGTTTGCGGTACGCGCCTGCATCAAGACGAGGCAAATCGGTTTTTTATTGCCGATTTATTTGGTTTTTATTAGCGCGGTTTTTGTCTCGTACTTTTTTAACAGTTACATGATGAGAATGTCGGTTTAACGGCGCTGCGAGTGTTGCAAGACAGCCGCGGATGGAGGTGTGGTCCGTTGGATCAGCTGAGCCGTCTGAGCCGGGCGGGAGCTCCAGTTTTTTAGAGCCATGTTTGCTCTATCTTCACCGGAAATTTCGCGGCTCTGTCTGCTCGGGGTTGTAGAGGGCGAATTTTCGAAGCAGAGCTTGCACAATTTTCATAGACAAACTGAGATGGAAGATTTTGGAAAAATTGTCAAAATTCACGCGGGTCTAGTTGAAGCTTGAGGTTTCTGCTGCCTAATAAAGCCATGTTTGCTCTATTTTTTGCGGAAAGTTCTGGGCTCTATCTGCTTGGGTTTTTAGAGGACGATTTTTTTAAACAGAGCTTGCACACTTGTCATAGAAAGTCTGATGTAGAAGATTTTGATAAAATTGCTAAAATTCACTCGCATCTAGTTGAATCTTGAACTTGCTGCTGCCTGATAGAGCCATGTGTACTCTATTTTTCGTAAAAAGTTCAGGGCTCTAACCGCTTGGATTTTTAGAGGGCGATTTTTTGAATCAGTGTTTGCACAATTTTCATGGAGAATTTGAGATGGAAGATTTTGAAAAAAATTGTCAAAATTCACTCGGGTCTAGTTGAAGCTTGAAACTCCTGCTGCCTGATAGAGGCATGCGTGCTCTATTTTTTTAGAAAAAGTTTAGTGCTCTATCTGCTTGGGGTTTTAGGGGGCAATTTTTTGAAACAGAGCCTCGATAGTTTCAATGTCTGTGTGTTTCAATGAAACGCGCTACTTCAAAAACTTCTTACAATCGCTCTAGATCCCAATGAACCTTTCAATTTGCCCTGATCAATAGAGCACGTTTGGCTCTACATTCTCTGAAAATTGCAGCTCTATATCTGTTCGGAGCTTTTCAGAGCGAATTTTTGAAACAGAGCCT